ATATCGTACATATAGTGGAATACATCTCCGTCCCGAGCTCTCTCGCGGATTAGTGCCATTAAACGCTGAAACACTGCCGGCGCGTTCTTAAGTCCAAAAGGCATCCTTTTAAATTCGTACAACCCGTCTGGTGTCACAAATGCAGTATACATTTTACTATTATCGTCCATCGGAACCTGGTAATATCCGCTGTTCAAGTCTAGGACCGTGTAGTATTTGAATTGGTTTATCTCTTGCAGTCGTTCTTCGATATTTGGAGTTGGAAATATCTCCTTTACTACGTGCTGGTTTAATTTTATATAATCGACGCATAATCTATCCTGACCGTTTTTCTTTTTTACAAGTACAATTGGACTGGCATACGTGGACGTAGATTTTGTTATAATATCGTTCGCTAAAAGTTCATTTATCATCGTTTTTACTATTTCTTTTTTCGGTTCGGGTATTCGGTATGGCCTGGATACAATAGGTTCCTTTGTCGTCAATTCTATTTTCATTTTTAGTTCGTTCGTTAATCCGATTTCGCTTATGTCTCTTCCCATAACATTTCTATACTCGTTTATCAGTTCACACAACATAATCCGGATATCTTCGTCGTTTACTCCGCAATTGATTTCAGATAAGGCAATCGGTTTTCGTTCCGTCTTCCGTGTCGTGAATACGTTGGCGTTTTCCAATCGTTGCTCCTTATCATTTACTATCAACTGTATTTCATTGTTCGTAAAAATATATTTTCCAAGAATTAAGTCCGGGGTAAAAATATGATCATCCGCAACGTAAAGTTCTGCTGTAATTTCAATATCATCAATCGTAAGTTTTGTTGTCAAGACTTCTTCGATTACACCCGTTCCACCACAAACTCCACTGATACGTAATTTGCATTTTCTAATGTCGACTCCTAGCTTATACGCCACTGTTTTATGGATCATGCTGCATTCACTACCGGTATCAATCAAGGCATCGTATGTAAAACCATTTATAGTAACAGGATTATTGTTGAGTACTTTACGTACGCTGTAAGTTTTTGTTTCTGTGCGTCCACAATGTGTCGGTGAATCTTTAGGATGGACTTTGTGACAATCTCGGCATCGTTCTCTTCGCGGTGGTTTTGGGCATTGACTGGAAATATGTCCTGGTTCGGAACAATTGTAGCACATTACCTTTGGGTCCGCTTTCTTACGCCTATCGACATCCTCCTTGGTGTACGGATCGCGTTTCCCTGTTGAAGACATTAGATTCGACCTGTTGCTACAATTAGCGATGCTCGCTAAATATTGTCCTGATGCTTCACGTAACCCTCGCATTGTTCGAAACCGTATTGGTGCAATTGCTTGCTGTAGCTCACGATGCTTCAATCCGTCACGAGTATATTTAACTGCCGCTGTTTCACTGATACCATACCGTCTTCCCAGTGCGCTCATTCGAAAACAGTATTCGCTGACGGATTCGTCTTGCCGTCGTACGGTTGATGTCATTTTAAAATGAATATCTGCTTCATCCGCGTTTGTGCTGAATTCCTCCATTAAGGCGTTTGCTAACTCATTCCACGTTCCGAAAAATTCTGGAGTCGAATCAAGCCATAACTTTGCCGGGCCTTTTAACTTCCTATACACTGCGAGTAGCAAAAGAGTTTCTTCACACTCGTAGGCTTGTGCTGCTTTATCTACTCTATCGATGAATTGTTCTACGCCGAATGTTGAATCTTTTGTTGGATCGTACTCCGGTAAGATTTCCGCCATTTCTTGTACACTGTACGTTCTCTGGATGGGCTCGTAACTCGGTTTCTGGGTAAGAGCTGATTCATTCACCTTGGTTTCGTTGCTTTCGTTTGCTGGTAAATCGACGATGGGTGTTGTTACTTGACGTTGTTGTTGTATGATTGACATCACATTTTCCATCATATCTTTTAAAGTATTAATTTGGGATTGTATTGGCACTTCCTCCTCTGCGCCATCAATATCTTCACACTCGACCTCATCGCTACCTAAAGCTCTAGATAACCGTTCGACCAGTTCACTTTTCTTTCCCATCGTGTCTAATTTTCTTTCGCGAAGTAACCGTTTTAATGTATCAACTTTTAATGATGTTATTTTAGGCATATTGTTTTGATCTCTTTTTAATTGTCACTCCGTTTACTAGTCGTTTATCCTTTTTCGTTTTCCGTCCGTTTTTATTAGTTTAAGTTCGATAATTATCGTTTTTTTATTTCGTTTCGTTCCTATGTATTTTCCATTTGAGTCGTTTTGCTTTCGTTTCAAGTTACGTTTGAGTTGTTGCACTTCATATCACATTCTCTGTTGTTCGTTATTTCATTGTTAGTACGTTATCCTCTCTTTCCTTTTATATTCTTCCAAATCGTTATACCGTTACTTTGCATTCCTCACGTAGGCGATCGATCACATTATGAAGTTCTTAAACGTATATATGTTCGTGTATGTTCACAAAAATTTTATACATATGTACGTATATGATTTTTTTATGCAACAATGCGTTTTGCGTTTATAGTTTTTTTTAGAACTTTTTTTTTTTTGGAATACGCCACAATTACGTTTTTTTTATTATTATTTCCGATAGCCGTAAGCGCGTTTAATATATGTGGATATTAAGATCCCACTTCTGAACTAAAAGATTAAGAGAATAACACTTGTTCGTTTGTCCGGATTTATTTTAATGGAACATAAAACGTTTATTGATTTAATTCATATTACGAAAACATAAAATAATAAAGAAATGTTCGATGTGAAAACATAAAATAATTTAAAAACTAAATGAAATGGAATGCGCGTATGCGCTACGACGTCTAGGCAACAACTGCTCGCCAATCCGGGCTGCTGCTACGTCTTCTTCTTCTTCTCTTCGTTAAAATTAATTCAATTTTGCATAGTTGCAAATTATCGTACTCTTACACTTTATTTCTTTTCAAAAAGCATTTTCACAAAATAAAACAAAACTCTCAATGTAAAATAATAGATAACTTCGACTAAACACAAAACACTAAATCCCAAAAAGAAGCCAGCTGTACCACCAATTGACACTAAAATGATACAGAATTGCATATTACATTATTTACATATAAATCACACACATAGATATATACAAATTAACATACCCATCAAATCGGTAAATGAAAAAATTATTTGTCGCTTCAAACGATAGGTGGGTAAATTGATCATGGCAAAGAGTAGACTATTGCCGCCCACTAGATCATTTGTTTTTTGCATATGCTAAAAGGAAGTAAAAAATAATTAATGTTTAATTATTTTGTATGGGGAAATGGTATTGCAGAGTAATTCAGGTAAAATTGTTCCTTCAATGAAGATTGAGTTTTAGCATAGGATCGATAAAGCTCAGTTATGTTTCTTAAACGGCATTTACATTAGAACTTTTTTACCGGGTTAACCTACTTTATGAGGATTTATTTGAAATGTATACAATTGGAATTGAATTGACAATTGAAACCCACTGGGTTAACGAAATCCGGTACAATGTTAACGTACTATTAAGAAAAAAAATCTAATTTTTTTGTAAACAATTTCAGTTTGAGACTTCGGAATTTAAATATATAATTTGAGGTTGGAATTTGTCTACATCTGTTTGTGTGAGATTTGTATATCTTACATATTTTGCTCTCTTATTGACAATTGCATCTCGACAATTCTGCACACAATGACACGGAACCGAATCTCTTTCGCCATCCTTACTTATTTTATACATTTTTATGAAATAATCTAAATATAAACAAAATATGTATTAAATTTTATAAGTCTTTAGGATATGTCCGAGCTTACCTTCATGTGGTATAAAACAGTCCAGAAGAATGCGATAATCACAAATAGGTTTGGGATTTGGAACTGAAAAGAAATATCATAAAAAATATTTAACGAAGAGGTTCAGAAATTCAGTCATACAGATGTGATGGTCCTTGAGAAAATTATTCAAAACTTCACGCATATAGCTTGTTTACCAGCCTACATGATATCCACGCTTGCAGACACGCTGGTACTTGACAATTTTTCTCTTTAAAAATCCACGCCTATAGGTCCTTGACAATTTTTTTCTTTAAAAATTCACGCCTTTAGGTACTTGACAATTTTTTACTTTAAAAATCCACGCCTATAGGTCCTTGACAATTTTTTTCTTTAAAAATCCACGCCTATAGGTCCTTGACAATTTTTTTCTTTAAAAATTCACGCCTATAGGTCCTTGACAATTTTTTTCTTTAAAAATCCACGCCTATAGGTCCTTGACAATTTATTTCTTTAAAAATTCACGCCTATAGGTTCTTGACAATTTTTTTCTTTAAAAATGCACGCCTGTAGGTCCTTGACATTTTTTTCTTTAAAAATCCACGCTTATAGGCTTGACAATTTTAGAAAGGTAAAAGTCCCTGGGAAACATTGTATTTAAAAATCCACTCTTAGGAAGGTATTGGACCTGGTGATATTTTAGCTTTAAAATCCACCAAAATATCTCTGGTCCTTGGGAAAATTTGTTTTAAAAATGTGTTGGTCCATGTCTTGGCTTTATAATCAAGAAGGATTTGAGAAAAATATTTTAGTTCTTTTCGTACTTACTTCGATTCGGATAAAAATGCGGTATACATTTACAAATACTATAGACCAAATTCAGACGACATTCCTGAATGCAAATATTTTTCGAATACACTGGAAAATGGGTCAAATTAGATTCATGCTGGAAACGGCATTTACGCTGTTCAATTGTGGCATCCCTGGAAATACTAAAGCGATTAAAAATCCACCTTATTCGATGTATAATTCTTACTTTTCAAAACCATCCTCAGTTATAATTTCCACGCACTCAACATCCACCTGTAGAGGTTCACTGGTATAACCCAAATTATGATCCACCTGCATTATTTCATATGGACTGTGCAGAAAACCCTATAGGCATCGGAACTAATTAGTAAAACATTTATATGGATATTTTTTGGATTCCTTACATCAATTGGTTTACTACCGAACCCCAAAAAATTATAACTGACATCACTGTCGAAGTAGCTGCTATGCTTAACCTTCAAAATATTATCCACACCTTGAATTTCCTTCTTATTTTCATAACCCCATATCATATAATGGGAGGTGAATTCCTCCGACAGCATTGTATTGGTCATGTAGCACAACCCATATTCGGTGAAGATTTGTCTCGTTTCTATAATACTATCACCCGATGTACTGCGAACTTTATCGGTAGCGGCTATGAAATCGTTTTTCGTTATCATCGTACTGTCACCGGTTAAATTGTAAATTAGTTCCTGGTAGATGTTCGGTGTTATCTTGAGACGATCCAGCAGTACCGCAATGCTGCGATTATTGGGTATGTTATGGAAATTGTGATAGGTGGCATTGGCCAGATGTTCCAGAAAATTATACAGCTCTTGGAATTCATTTTCATTCAAATCATGTTGACTAAAGTTAATGAAAAAAATAAAAATTGAGAAAAACCATGAGAATTTTTTAATTTAAAAATCCAGGCCTAAGGAAGTACTATTCTTTGAGAATTTTTTAATTTAAAAATCTTTGCCTAAGGAAAATTTTTTAATTTTTTAATTTAAAAATCCACTAAGGAAGTACTAATCCTAATTTAAAAATTCACGCCTAAGGAAGAACTAATCTTTGAGAATTTTTTAATTTAAAAATCCACGCCTAAGGAAGTACTAATCTTTGAGAATTTTTTAATTTAAAAATCCACGCCTAAGGAAGTACTAATCCTAATTTAAAAATTCACGCCTAAGGAAGAACTAATCCTAATTTAAAAATTCACGCCTAAGGAAGAACTAATCCTAATTTTAAAGATTCACGCCTAAGGAAGTACTAATCCTTGAGAATTTTTTAATTTAAAAATCCACGACTATTGAACCACTTGGTCCTTTAAAAAATTTTAATTTCTAAATTTACGCATTCAAAAGGCAAATTCCTTGAGAAATTTTGAAAATTTATTCTCCTTTCTAATTATCTTTATTGTGCTCATCCCTTTTAAAAATCATCTAACCTGACATGACAATTTTTGGTTTGCAGCAATTGCAAAACAAAATTTGCTGGTTAACAAACTATTTGTCCCCCATTTTCAAATCCACAGCCCATTGGCTGTGATATATTAGCATACAAAAAAACACACACAAGTGTCCATTATCGCATAATCATCGACAGCAGGAGCTCCACCAGCATTCGATGACAATAGCCTGTTTTGTCGTCGCTTTGATTTA